AGCCATTTATGTGAAAATGATCGTTTTTTTTTTTCACCAGAAACAGGAAAATCAAAAGACGAGTTAGGAGTAAATATTTTATTAACTAGATCTAATAACATTAAATCATCTTTGCTAGCAGATAGTTGTCTACCGCGCTCATAGTAAGTAAAAACATCATAAAAAGGAAGGCTTGAAGACTGATCTGATGAACAAGGAATACAATTAAGTAAGATTGGATTATGAGTAATATCAATATTTACATCTATAAAATAGATTTTTAGGAGGTTGACAAGATAAATTCAGAACCTTAGTGTTAACAGAAGAATGCGATAAAACACTTGGCAAAACTGAACACAATCCTCTTTTTAAATCACTTTTGACAAATTTCTTTAAGCTTCTCTTTTCACTATAAGGACAAAATGATTTGGTGACCATCATCTTTATCCTTGGAAATAGAGCGACAATTAGTGTTACACCATAAAATACTCAGAATTTTTTTATTTTTTTTATGATTACCATGTGGGTATATACATACATTAAAAAACTTTTTATATTTTTCAAGTCCAAATTCAGGATAAATAGACCGAATTTGTTTATTTAACACTGTAGATAATGCAATTAAACAAAGAAAAGAAGCAAATTCATTGTTTCTGCAATTGTTATAGGTTTCTTTTTTTTATAAGTTCAGCAATACTTATATCATTTAATTCTGTAAAAGAATCAGAAGATTCAAATGAAACTTATGCCATGAAAACACTAGAAAGTGAAGAAAAATTTTTAGATTCCACTTGGTTTAATACTATTGGGTATCTCGAATAAAAGGTTGCTTTTTCAAACAACTTAACAGAAGTTAATAGTCGAAGAATTTCATTTGTTTTATCTGATGAATTTATTAATAAAGCAGCAGAGTTGTAAAGACAGTTACCATTTTCCATTGACCAGTAAAGTCATAACATATATATACTTAATATAGCGAAAACAAAGATATTGAACTAATCATTATTTGTCAAGAATTATTGAAATATAAACAAAATAAAACATAAAAAAAACGTGTTCAAGTCCATAATTGCAAACAAAAATAAAATTTGTAATAAAAACTACTTATTAGCTAATTTTTGATAAACTTTAAATTATTCGAATACTTAAGGCGTTAATTTAATTTATTCGAATAATTAAGGCGTTATTAGAATAATTAAGGATTCATTTTTATATATAAACGGAACCGAGAGAACCCTTTTGATCAAACGTTCCTCCAACTTTTTTTTGTTGTCTACCGGAAATTCGGGTCAAATCAATCCTGAAACAATAGGGATTTTTTTGGCCTTTATTACGGTAAGCAAAATAAATACATTGCAGTGACGATCAATTAAAAGGGTTCTTTCGGTACCGTTTACTTTAAAATAAGAACCCTGATTTAATAGCGGCGTTTTGAAACATGACGGAGGAGAGTCTGAAACATTGTTATAGCCCAGTATGTTTTTCTATTAAGGCAATATTTTTTTTTATAAAGAGCTCATATGTTCATATTAGTATACTATAAATTAAAGTTTAGTATTATTTAGATTATAAAACGGAATTTTTTATATAATTTCTTAGAATATTATGGGTGAATCCTGGGCAACACAAGATACCCTCTAGATCCGCCCCTGAGTGGCTCTTTTTAAACCCAAATTGCTTACTATAGAAAATATTGTTTACATCTTATAAAATCTTTTATACATCATGTGTTTTAATAACTTTGAAAAGCTTGATAGTATGGAGATGGGCCTGTAATTGAAGACACTAGTCTTATCTCCTGACTTTAGTATAGGCATTACCCTTAAAACTTTAAGTTTATTAGAAAAGATTCCTTGATTTAAAGAAAGCGTAAATATATGCAAAAACAGAATTTTTAAATAAAGCATTGATTTAATTGCAACGTTACTGCTTACATCATAAACTCCATTACCTTTGTTTGGTTTAAGTAAGTATGGCATCAAGCAATTTTATTTCTGTTACCACATTATTGTTTATTGTATTATTATTAGAGTTTAGGTGTGATTTGAAGTTTTACTTTTTTTTATTTTTGATGCTAGTTTTGGACCTGTGCTAACAAATGCATGGTTAAACGAATTAGCAATTATTGCGTCATTAATATTTTCACTGTTATTTATAATCAAATTTTTGGTGAACAACTAATATTCATATCTTTTTTCATATAACCTCTTTTATTATGTTCCAAGTTTTTTGTATATTATTTTTATATTTTAGTAATTTGCTACTATAGTAAAACTTGAGCGCTTTACAATCGTCACAAAAAGACGATTATAGTTTTTTTAAGTTTGTTTCATTTTTAAAATTTCTTTTTTTAATAAATTTTTCATACAATTGTAGCTGTTTTTTTGCAAGATTTTATTATTCCAGATGTTATCCAGGGATTTTGTAGAGTTTTTGCTTTAATAAATTTAGTTGTTAGTAGGAATGCTTTATTAAAGTGACATTCAAACATATGATAAAATTTATCATAAACTTTATTAACCTTTTATGTTTTTAAAACAGATTTCCAATTTGTCGTTAATAAAAGGCTGATAAATATCACAGGAGAAGCGTCCTTAATTACTCGTTTTTTAGTTTTGACTTTTTTAGAAAGTTGATTTAATGATTTTTCTGCTGTTATAAAAATGTTCAAATGGTCTGTTCTAAATATTCCAGTTTTAATTTTTATGTTTTTGAAGTTATTAATTATAATTTGATCAATTAAAGTAGAAGTAATTTGATTTTATTCATAGTTAATTTATTGACAGTTAATTTATTCATAGTTCGAATTCATAGTTCGAATTCATAGTTCGAGTAAATCCATTATGAAACGTAATATTAAAAAACGTTCTGACGTCTTAGTTTTGTCCTATTCAAGCAAATCTAAATTCAGATCACCTACAAAGTAAACGCATTTGCCACATAATTCTTCGCTTATTATTAAGCTTTTAATTTGTATATACGAAGTATACAACTGGGTTTTTCCGAATTTTGTTTTTAACTTCAATTGATAACAATTCAAAATTATGCGTAACAGCAAAATTTTTTTTTGCGTAGTTTGAAACCTAAAGAGTTGTGGGTAAAAATACACAATCCTCCACCTGTTTTTTCTAAGTCACTATTTTGATGAAAGACTTTATAATTATTAAATTAAAATTTTTATTAATTTCATTATCTCGGCACCATATTTCTGTTAGTCATAAAATTTAAAAGTTTATTTTTACGCTAAACTAAAATTGTTTAAATTTCTCAAAATTTTTTTTGAGGCTCCTATTATTATGGTGTCGGATAGATAATGCAGTTGAATTTATGTCAGCAGTAATACTTGAAATATCTAAAAGTAATAAGGACTTATATTTATAATATTCCCTCCTCATTATTATCAAATTTAAATCTAGATCTGATTGATTTTTTAACGGAATTTGTTTATTAGGTTCAAAATTATTTATGTCAACATTATTAAAGGCCTTAGTATCAAAGTTATTCCTAAATAATTGATTAATTTTCATTTTAAAAATACAAACATAAGATAGCAAATATAAATAATAAATATTAATTACTTTTCCTTTCGAATCCGCTCACGAACGATTAGTTCGTCGTAAGATATTATCAAAAATTTGCCAAGCTCTCGCTCTTTTTTTATTATCTCTTTCTGATCTTACCTTAATCTCTAATCCCAGTCAATTATTAAATTCCTGTATTTTAATAAATTTATTATTTGTACAAAAACATACTTTTTTTCATGACACAAACATTAGAAAACACTAACTGTTTGTCATTTATAAAGTGAACGGGAAATTTAAGTGACAATTTTTATTGTGTTTTTTTATAAAATAATGAATATTAGATTTTGCCTACGTTTATCGAGAGCTTGTTAGCTCTGAAACATCTATTTACTTTTATGCAGGTGCGGATTCAGCATTTTTTAGACTTTGAAATTTGCATCACTTTTCCAAATGTAAAAAAAGTTGGTAAAACTTTTTTTGTACTATTCCTAATTCGATTTATATTCATCAATAAATTTTAAATTTCATAGTATAATATTTCAGTTTAAGAAAACGGATAATTCGGATATAGGTTTATAAGTCGAGATACTGGAACTAACATTGCCGTTATATCTACTTTAAATGTATTAAGCTAAATGCTTTCATTTATTGAAATTTTTAAAATATTTAGAATATAAAGCGAAGATTTGCTGATGTTTTTTTTTTTTTTTATATATTTGAAACTGCTTTAATATTTGTCTTTTAAAATCTAGAGATTTGTTTAACTATTGTTTATAAAAATACGAAAAAATTCTCATTTTCTTTTATTGTGAAATCACTGTTACATAATTATTTATTAATAGAAGAATTTATGTAGGTTTTAAATAAATCAATTCAAGGTACGATTTTGGTAGATAAATTTAGAGCAACCTTAAGTAAGGTAATTTCTCTTTTTATATTTTCGTTCTTCTCAATGTTACTATCAATAATAGTATTATTGGGACAAAGTAACTAACTACTTTTATATGAACCTTTTACGTTATGGTTACTTTTTATATATTTTATAATTATTTTATACTCTTAGTCTTTTCACTACAGAATTTTTTTTTTCCATTTTTATTGATAAAGTATTTATAGTTTTAATATATGTTTTTGTTTTTAATACTCCTATTTTTAAGAAATGAAGTTTTTATTTCCTTATTTAACATTTTAGAAAAGTTTTGTTGATCTATGGTTTTATAAGTTTTTTCATGTTTTTCAATTTTCAAAGTTATTAATTTGAATGTAGATAGAAAAGAAGTATGCTTTTCTTATGTCTGTTTTCTTATGTCTGCTTTATTTGTTCCTGTTCCAAATGACGTTTCTGATAAATAAAAAATTTTTTACATATTAAATAATTTTTAAAATAATTTTAATGTAATTTTAAAATAATTTTAATTGTCATGGTTTGGTTTTAAACTTGTTATTTTTTTTTAACTGAAGTTTACACAACCAAATGAATAAAAATTAGTCAATCAGTTAAATGGATAATTCAGATTATATTTAGATTTCATTTGGATCTAATAGAGTGTGCCATTCTGAATGAGATTGATGGGGAGAATCCTGCACGAGTTGCCAATGTGTTACAGCTGATTTTTGTGGAGAAAGTAAACTAAATATCACATGACCTATAACACGGTCTTTACCCAACATGTTTGAATTATTAACTGTAACAACCAAGGTATAAACCGAAAGTGGACTTGAAATGTCTGTACTGATTTCGAATTCTATCGGTTCATTAAATATAGGATCGCGCAAATTGTACTTTATAGAGGTATTTTTCATTTCAATTTTTTTTTCTCGAAATAACGAAACAGTGACATAAAAATCTAAAAAAAAATATTTCAGATAAGTATGTAATTTTTTAAAGGAAGAATTTTTTTTTTAATATAATATTTATATTATTCATAATGTTTTAATTTACTTGAAAACTTTGGCAAACTTTTTGCTTGATTGATAATCACATTGAGCTTGGATATTATTGCTTGGTGACATAAAGATATGTTTATAGATCCCAATGATGCCTAGAATCAGATTAATTAAAGTAAATAAATATTATTAACATTGTTTAAAATTCAATAAGTTAAATTAGTTGAAAAAACAAAAAATTTAATTATTAGACAAAGCTAAAAATATAATAATTTAAAAGAAAAATAAAAAACCTGCTTACCTTGGACTTAAAATGCCAAAATAGATCAAAATATATATTGGATTCTTCACTCGAATAACTAAGATCAGTAATGGGTATTTGTGCTTCTCCAATAACTTCGTTTTGAAATTTCTTTATCTTATTATATTTTATTAATTTTATTTGTAAAGTATATCTATCTAATTGTGTTACATCTAAATGTTGAAAAAAAAATTGTTCGTCAAAGTTGAACTCACTGCTATCTTTTACGCGCCTTGAAGTTTGCTTTTGCATTTTTTCTGGCATTAAATTCAGAACAATAAAAGCATTAAGACAACAGTTCTGCTTTTTATTAAAATACACTACTCGGGAAATCCATACTTCTAAAGTATTGTTACTACTTAGAAGTTTAGCTTTCATTGCTATTGTTCCAATTTTTTTTCTTTTCAACAAATGAGTTTGGTTGTATTGGCGATTGGAACCAAGTCTTCTTTTATCAACATGACGATATATACTGTTACTTTCAAATACACTCGTGTCAGAAACACTTGAAGCTGATAAATCACTATCGCTCAGTAAACTATCGGTCGAAATAGATGCCCCATCATTGTCGTATGAATCATTTTCGAATTGCGAATTATTATCTTCACTAGAAAGTTCTGAATGTGAACGAAGATCGGATTTGCGTACTATAAAAGAAAAATAAATTTGAAAACCTGTTCTTAAAGAACCTAAATAGAACATTGAAAAATTGGCAAAAAATTTTTTAAATTTTTTTTTGAAAAGAATCTTATTTAACTTTTTTTCTACCAGCTTCATCAAAGTCATCAGTAAGCTTCATCAAAGTCATCAGTAAGCTTCATCAAAGTCATCAGTAAGCTTCAGCAAAGTTATCAATAAGCTTCATCAAAGTTATCAGTAAGCTTCATCAAAGTCATCAGTAAGCTTCATCAAAGTCATCAGTAAGCTTCATCAAAGTCATCAGTAAGCTTCATCAAAGTCATTAGTAAGCTTCATCAAAGTCATCAGTAAGCTTCATCAAAGTTATCAGTAAGCTTCATCAAATTCATCAGTAAGTTAAGACTATAGCCCCAAGCCCTGCCAATTTTGGGTTCCCCAAAAATTTTAGTAAACCTTTTTTCTTTTTTTTTTTTTTTTAAGGGCTCTGACCCATAAAAAGGCCTGCAAAAACAAAAATAGCCTAACCCGCCACTGTGTACATCTATTTTTGTGAAAATCATTATACATTGCGACATTTATAATAAGATTTTACCTCGTTTTCCTTGATTTTTCAAATGCTCGATAGCCCCAAGACTTATCTTGCGCTGTTTATTTTCAATTTGAGACAAAGACCTGTCTCTGCCGAGAAAATCCATTCTCAAGTCTCCAAGACTAAATTTTCGCGGTTTTCTTTTACGTCTCTCTGAATTCTCCAAATTTATCGGATGGTTTCCATCTGAGACTGCAATTGTTTGAGACCTTACACGCTTATTTAAACAGATTTTGTTTCGGTTAATTGAATTATTCTTTGCTCGTCCCTTTAGATGATTATATTCTCTCTCAAAGGTGCATTGCTAACAAAATAAAAATACTTTTTGTAAAACTAACTTTATTAAGATATTCATGGTTTAAAATAACAATATTAACACACAAAAAAAATCATAATAAAGAATAACAAACTGATGGGTATTTTGTCATTACTCGATTCGAAACATCATCATCCACTGGTATTTGACCATGTACTGCTTGAATCGAAAATGGTTTACTGTAAGTAATCGAATCATTAAAAAAATTTATTTTTTTATACTTCTCTCTATTCTCCGATTCAATTTTTTTGATGCGTAAGTATTTGCAAATTGTCAGCACGGCAAATATCAATGTTACACATAAAAACGTTACAGCCAGTATCAAAGTAACTATGAAAATATAAAAACGTTACAATCAGTATCAAAGTATAGCAAAAACATAGAGAAATTGTAAACTTAAATGTTGTTTAGATCAAATAAAAAGGCTGATATGTTTTAGCAAATTATATCTAAATAATTTTAAAATAAATGAATGTTATATCTAAATATCTTTAAGGTACCAGATCCCCTTAAAAATCAAAAAAAATTCAATTTTTTTTTTACTTGGTTTTTATTCAAAATTTAACGGAGATTATTAATATGAAAACAGTTTCTTATAATTCAATTTAGTTTTTTATATATTTTTGTTTTAGTGGACCATAGTTTTTCAGGCTTCCCTAGTTACCACCATAGCAACGGGTTTGATTGTTGGTTTTTTAACTTTCTAATCAGCTTTTTGGAGGAAACTTCAGTCTTAAAAGAATCTTGTTTGCCTAATGTTTTTACAAGTGCTCAAAACAACTTTAGGATAAACTCCACAGCTTGAACATTACAAATTAGAATCACAGCATTGACTTTATTTAAAAGTTTCTAAAAGCCACTTTTACTTCAAATTTGTTTGCAACTTTTAAACAAAAAAAATGACTCGCAGTTCGATTAGAAAACGTAAATACAAGTTTAAAGGAAATCAGTTCACATGCAATTTTAAACAAAAAAAATAGTTTACCTTCATTGCCAATTGCAAATTGTACAAGTGCAAAAAAATTATTTTCGAAAACGAAAACTACTCAAAATATTGAGTGTAACAATGAAGATTACAAGAACAATTATAACTTTATTATGAACTTTTCTATATTAAAAAAAATATTTAGTAAGTATGTTTTTTGTCCTGAATGTGGAAATAAAATTACTTTGCATGATAACATTGGGAAAAAAATGGGATTTTGTTTACAACTTGAAATATTTTGTGAAAGCTGTGATAAAATTATAGACACATTTAAAACTTCAGCAATAATTAAAAGAAGTGCAGAAGTTAATACACAAGTTGCTGTTGCTTTTAGAGAAATAGGAAAAGGATATACTTCCATAGAATCATTTAATCGTTGCATGAATATGCCAAGACCAATGACAAAAAAAAAACTATGGTAAAATAAAAAATTACTTCACAGTGCTTATGTTGAAGCAGCTAATACTTCCATGTCAAAGGCTGCAAAAGAGACACATGATATTGTTTTGATGGATGTCATCAGTGATAATACAAGTATTGTTGATTGCCATGTTTCTGTTGGTGGAACATGGCAAAAAAGAGGTCACACATCCATAAACGGTATTGTTACTTTGATATCAACAAATAATCAAAAATGTGTTGACCATTTTGTTTTATCAAAACAATGTAAAGGTTGTGAATATTGAAACAAAAGAAAAAATGAACCTGGTTATAAAAACTGGCGAAATAATCACATTTGTCTCATTAACCATATAAAATAATCAGGATCAATGGAATCTGTGGGTGCTATTGAAATGTTTGGATGATCTGTGGAGAAGTATAAACTAAAGTATACAGCTTATATAGGAGATGGAGATACATCTTCATACAATGATGTTAACAAATCTCAACCATATGGACCTAATGTTATTATTAATAAAAAAAAATGTGTAGGACATGTTTAAAAGCGCATGGGAACACGACTGCGAAACTTACGCCAATCAATGAAATTAAATGTATTGTTGGATGGGGGAAAAATAATGGGTAAAGAACGATTAACTGATAAAGCTATAAATACTTTGCTGAATTATTATGGTACTGCCATAAGGTAAAATCTTAACAGCATTTATGAAATGAAAAAGGGTATTTGGGCAACACTTTTCCATAACTCAGATATTCTTGATGAAACTGAACGACATAAATTTTGTCCTCGAAACATAAATAGCTGGTGCATGTGGCAGTTAAATAAACTAACAGGTAAATCAACTTACAAAGCTAAATTAAATCTTCCATTAGCATTAGGAAAAATTATGTAAACAAAAAGTAAAGCATGGTAGTAAATAAACATGAAACGTTTTCTTTTAATAGTTTAAATAATCCTAAAAATGATTTTGACTCTTCTAAAACGGGAGAAAAATTATTTTTCAAAGAAAGTAAAGATTTGAACACATTAAATTGTCTACTCCTTGATAGAAAAATAGTAACCTTCAGAATAAAAGGTATTATGATGACATAAGAGAGGTTATTAAGAAATTAGTTTGTTTAAACGTCAGCATTAATAAAGTTGAAGAGGTTATCACCATTGTTATGAAGCATTAGCACTTGCTCAGCTTCAAGTTAGATAAGAAATGATACGGTAGAAATAATTCAGGCATACTGTAGAAAATAATTCAGGCAATTGTCTTCACAGTAAAGGTACCACTAAATACCATAGATATTTTTAAAACTTTTAAGTTACTACCGCAAGTGGAAGTACTTTGTCTTTTGATTTATTTGAAATGGCTGGAAGTAATGCAGATTACTCTATTAATGTGTTAGCCAAAACATTAGTTTTTATGTTACATTTTAGATAATAGCAGCAAGGAAAAAAAAATTATAATCTTGAATGTCTTTTTAAAAACTACCATGTCTGATCTTGGTCTAGTTAATCCACTGTTTAATTTAAAACTTAAAGATATGAGAAAAAAATTTACTGCGTATAGTTATTAATATTAGGAAAGTTTAAAAAAAAAAATGAGCACGCTGGTTTCATTAAAATATCAAACTTTTTTTGTAAATTGCATTTACTAACCAACTTTGCAACAGAAACTGATAAAACAGTTAAATCATTTGTTTTTTTTAATTATAATTTAAAAAAACACCTATATTCAGTCCAAGTGATGTTAATATTCATAAAGATATTTTGTATGATGTATTATTTGAAGAGACTGCAGACACTAATTTAATTATTTTAGCACTGCAAACATTAGAGGTGGTTTATTGTTCTTAATTAGTTGATCTTGAAAGATAATCTTGTGATCAACTTCCTGGAGGTAAATATTAACATTTTTCTGATAATATAAGTAAGTCTGCAAAAAATATCTCAACAACAAACAAAGCGACAGAAAGTGACGTTGCTGTATAAGATTTTTTAGTTCGTACAAAACTTAATAAAAAAATACAAACCATCCAAGCTTATACTATGTGGTATATAAAAAAAACAACAACACTAGACTGGTTGGATAAAAAGACTTTGGATGAGCGTGACTCCTTGCTTAAAAAAGCTTCAAGTAACTTTAATAAAATGAAAGTTAAATACAAACAACATCATTTAGAATTAAAGTTTGAAATGAGTGAAAGAGTGTCTGAAAAACATAAAGCTAAATAGACAGCTAAAAACAAAGTTTTCTTTGAAAAAGCTAAATTGGTAAATGAGTTGTTAAAGTTATGAACAATGGTGTGGTTGATTTCAAAAGAAGCAGATGATAAATATGTCTTACTAGGTGATATCTTAAAAACCAAAAAAATATTAGAAGCACAGTTGGATTTTTATTGGTATGTTATGGAAGCAAAATGTGAACCTAAATATTTTTACAAAACGAAGATACTTGGTGGTAAGAAAGTAGACTTAACAAACTATGAGTTATTTAGTAAATTGCAACCAATTATTAGAACAAGGAGTTTTCCAGAGCCCATTGAGAGAAAGATTTCTCCTTAAAAAAGAAAAGAACGAGATATTTTACTTTTGAAACAAAAAGAAGAGTTATGTGAAAAGTTGAAAAATGCAAGAACGTCTCAGTTAGCAAGTCAACATAAATTAAAAGTCTTGTCTAATGTTTTAAATGCCGTAATATAAAGCAACTAGTACACTCTAAAATATATCTACAGCAGTTCTACAACACCTCTTAATGGTTTTGTATCAACGTATTTACTATTGTTTTTTTTTTCACACGTTGAACTGTCTATTGGTTTTGTTGTTGAACTGTCCATTTGTTTTGTTCTTAAACTGTCCATTAGTTTTGGTGTCAAAGTGTTCGTCGGTTTTGTTTTTAAACTACCAAATAATTTTGTTGTTGAAATTTTTGTTTTTATTCCATTTGATTTATTGTTAGCCCAAATGCTGAATTAAGTGAAAAGCTAGTTATCCCAAGCTGTAGGTGGTATTATTTTTAATGAAAGATCGCTTTGAATTAAATTAAGCAAAAAAAGTAATGCAAAGCTTAAGTTGCTGTCAAGGCCGGCGCGATAGGGGTGTGTGTGTGTGTGGGGTGTCACCCCCATCACCAAAACCATTGATGGGGGGGGGGGTGACACCCCCCATCAATGGTTTTTAGTCGGCAAACTGGACCCTTAGTCGGCAAATCGGACCTTTTTAGACTAGTTAGTCGGCAAATGTCGACCCTTTCGATAAAGGTTAGACAGTCGGCAAATTTTGGAAAACGAGGACCTTTTTTTTTTTTTTAATCGGCAAAAGTTGTAATGGCACTCCCCCCACGTGACACCTAGTCGCGCCGGTCCTGGTTGCTGTTCGCGTTGTCAAGAACTTGTTCTCTGACAAGATTAGTTACAATTATGTCAAAATCATGCACAATATGCGCGTTGTTTTTAATTCTCTAACCATATTTCTTTTGAAATATTAAATTCTTTTTTTTATTATTTCAAACATTGTATTATAAATTAAAACATTCGACAGATTAAAACCGTTTGCGCTTAGAATAGGCACCGTAAAACGCCATAATATTCTTTTAACAGTGTAATAGTCGTGAAATCTATAAAGAGCTCTCATAAAGCTGTCAGTAAAGTAAAGCATAAACATGTCTATCCCGCATCTAGCAGATGCTATTCTAGTTTTAAAACTAAGTGCGTTATAGTATCTGTTTGGTTCATCTCCATCAACCCAATCATCAGGTTCATAACTTTTAAGAACAGGCTGTGCAGTAGGGTGGAGTGAAAACAAATTTTTTTAGAAATTCATATTTTCTTCCTGATTTCTATAATAGTTATTGGAAAACTAAAAAAATAAGACCAAGATGAGCAAAGTTGAACCAGAACTACCCTCAGCACCAATTTCTGACCAATATTACTTTTTTTTTTTTTTTTAGTTTAC